TTCGGATTTGGGGCACAGCACTGAGTGGATACGAATGGTAAGATTTCTCCTGCACGGGACTGGAAAGACTATTGAAGAGAGTCAAATTCGGTGTTTCCTATTCCTTCGAAAACAAACATGCTTAAGTTTTTAAAAGGGAGTAACTTAAATGAAATCATCAGCTAAGTAAGAGGAGAAGCAGAACTCTGATAATGTGAAACGGGGAACATGGTAAAGAGTCCGATGGAAGCTACTGGAAATATTGGTGGAAATCGTGGCGCAGGTGGGGAAAGTGGTCCACGGAGCAGGGCAAGTCAGACCTGCACCCTGGAGCTGGTTATCAAGCAAGTGACAGCTCCAGGTCTCCTGGGGTCCAGGTGTTCCCTTCTCTGCTCTCTGGGACTCAGTTTTGTCATCTGGTGACAGTGGCCACGTAGAAGCACCCCCACATTCTGAATATGGAAGCAGTGAGACAGGCTGCTGGCCCTTACAAGCAGGAGTGGGGCCCTGCCACGTGTACATGTGTACCCACGTTTGTAAGTGACTGTCCAGGCCTCATACTGGATGTGGCTGTGGTTACACCAAGATGATGGGACCTCTGACCTCTCTGCATCCGGGCCCTAATCACCTGCGCTGCATCGGGGCCCTAATCAGCTGCACTTGGCAAGCTGGATGGGGTCCTACCCTGGGTCTTACAAGGAAGGATTCGTTTGTGGGGCCTCTAACAGGGTCTTCAAAGCCCTCCACGGATGGTAAGTAACAAGCCGATCCTGCATTTGCCCTCTGCAAGGTGAGTGGCCACAGGCCCCACACATAAGACGGCCTGTTGCTGGTGGTGTTTATAAAGGCCTGTCACACGCCCCACCCCCGTCGCCCTGGCTTTAGAGGGGGCGGACAGGCGGTCCCTGAGTCTTTGTTAAACTTGAGAGCTCAGATGGATGTAGAAACACAAGTAGAGCCAAATCACATGTTTAAACAGTTAAGAGGAAACCAGGCTCAGCAAGGAACTACAACCCAGGATTTAGCCTGGGTGAATTTTCCTTCTCTGGGATTTCCTGTCCCGTTTCTGGATGTTTCTATCTATCAAATGTTCCCTGGCAGTTGGTTTAAGGCGATCAACTCCGCTGTGAAAGAAAGCCTTACACAGTCCTTGGGCTTAGCTGCTAAAATATGAGGGGCTGCTGAATGGTGTGGCCCCAAGCCTGGCTTCTATGACAGAAGCTCTGTCTATCAGCCCTCAGTGGAAAGAGCCCACACTCAGAAGACTGGCCTTAAAGAACCATCCGTAACAATAAAGGCCAGCATGGGACCCCCAACAACTGCCTGGGGTGGGGGCAGGCGACAGTGGGGTTAGTGGGGGGTAGGTCCTTAAGGAATGTAAAGTAAGTGAACCCGAAAAGTCGGCCTCCTGCCCATGCTTTGAGACCGCAGTTACAATTTAACAATTTTTTATGTAAATCATCTGGTATACTCGATTGCATGGGTTGGGGGGGGGGGGGGGGGGGGGCGGTGAGAGGACAAACAATAGGTTTGAGATTAGATAATTTAGTTAGTGCGAAAATTCCAGGAAGTTTGTGTTGATCTGGGGCCTGGATCTTGTTACTTTTTAGCTCAAATCTAAATCTTTATCTTCCTATTATAGTTGAGAGGACTTTTTTTTTTACTTAGTCATTTTTACAGTTGTGATTTTTACCCCCCCTGTCATCAAATACAGCCAGTTAGATTAGCAGCTCTTAGCACGGACATGAAAATATTGGTAGGGCCCAATGGGCCCTGTTTTGTTTATTCTCACGGAGCAGGCTTTGATCTAAACATATTTCCTGGGGTCTGGACGAGATGACCTAATTCCTGTCTTATCCGTCGTCTCCACTTTCTGTGAATCTCAGATTGCGCTTTACTGGGCAACCCTTTGAAATTCACTTTGCATTTTTTCCCACTTTGTTACCCCTCTGACATTTGTTTCACTCGGGGTAGAGTGTGTGACTCTTAGTTAAGGTTCCGATGCTTTATTTTTCTAGCAGGGCTGCTAAGATTTTAACAGAGTGGGACCTTTTTCTTTTCTCCCACCTTTTTTTCTCCCTTTTAGGCTCTCTCATTCTTGACATTCACAACACGCCAAAAACAATAAGCAAATAATCTACGGCGAGAAGTTTATGTCAACTGCAAATCATTTCGGATTTTCTGTATGAACTCTTTTCCTAATTCAAAAAAAAAAAAAAAACAACCCAACAACTGTCCCCTGTCCCCCTTTCCCCCAATTTATGAAAGTCACTCGACTAAACCTGGCCCATGAGGACTGAGATAGAAAAATCAAAAACTGAGGGTTAGCTTCAGGTGTCTCTTAACTGATCTGCGGGAACCTGTTTCTTCCCTGACTCCACCCCACTCCCACAGAGCCCCTGGGCTCCGGCGGGGTGTCTTGGGCAGCTTGGGTCTGTGATTGGTCTCTCTCTTCCTTATTCCTCCCCAGGTCCTTGTCAATCACTAAACTGCTCTTGCAAGAATATTTGCCACAAAGAAGGAAGCCCACGCGCGTGCGTGTCTGTGTTGTGTATGGGGGAGCGCAGTGCACATGCAGGGGGAAGAAAGAAGAAACACAAAGGGATATAGGGAAAGACCGACACAGGAAGAGAAGGGGCAAGAGAAGAAGGGAAGAGAATAAGAGAATGACAGTGACACAGAGAGACACAAGGGAGAAAAAGAAAACCATAGTCAAAAAAAAAAAAAAAAAAAAAAAAAAGAAGAAGAAGAAACCCCGACAAGTTGCTAACGATTGCAAATTTGAGCCATGGGCACAAGGCGGTTTGTTCCCTTATTCGCTGTACTTTCCTATATTTTTCCAATTCACATTTTTTTTTTTTAGAAGGAAGTGGGGGGGCACATGTCACCAAAGTCAATATTTTTAGTTCAAAAATGTTGGCAACTTCGCTATCATCATTCTGGGCGGTAGCAACCCAGGGAATTCGGTCCCCCTTGGTTTCCAAACTGCCACCACGCACCTCGAGTGTCAGAAGGGGCAGCGGGCGGGATGTGGCGGCGCGTTAACGTGGGCCGCCGTAAAAGAAACTGTGTTGCTTTACAAATATGAATCCATTTCTCTTCTGCGGGGCTGAGCCCAAAGGCCGAGTGTAGGGATGGCAGAGTGAGGGGGCAGGAGGGCCGAGGAGGATCCTCGATTTGGAAATGAATTGGAAATGAAGGGCAAGGCGAGTGGGCAGGTAATGATCAATAGGTTAGAGAGATAGTCCATGGATCGATAGATGGAGAGGCAGGGACAAAGGCGCCGGGAAGGGGGGGGGGGGGGGGGGGGGCAGAGACCGGGACCCCAGGGCTCCGACCTTCCGTTAAGGGCTTCGGCTGCCTGGGGAAGTCTGTCTAACCAAAAAGTTGCCTTTGCTCCCCTTAACTCCCTTCCAGAAAACCTAGATGGGAGGAGGTTGGTGGTGAGCAGGGAAAAAGAAACAACTGCCCTGCTCCCGGCCCCGGACCGCCCGCCTCGCGGAAACGGACGCGCAGCCCGGGGTGGCTCAGGGCCTTGACCCCGCGGGCGGCCGGGCGGGTGGGAGTCCCGGGCTGGGGGGCGGCGAGCGGGGGCCGCCGGCGGGCGTGCGCCTGGGACGGTTGTCGGGGCTCAGTCCGCGGCCCTCCCACCCCCTGGAGCGGAGGGAGGGGCGCAGGGGCGCCGCAGCGCAGTGCGCCCAGGGGGCACTGCGAGCCCGCCCTTCTTGGTGGCCCGCGGCTCCGATCCCCTCAGTCTGTCCCCAGGCGCCGGCCCGGGGCGCAGGGGCCGCTTCCGGGAGGAGCGTCCCGACCCTGAGGCCACGCGGCCCGGGGCGCCCCCGCGTCGCCGCGCCCAGGCTTGGGAAGGAAGGGGAAGGACGCCCCCTCGGCCACGGAAACGTCCCCTCTGGCCCGCGTAGGACAAGAGCTTCTGGCCAGAACTGCGGCCTTCCCTGGCGTCCCCACTCTTGAGCAAAGGCGTCTGTCTTGGGGCGCGTAGCCGGGACCGCGGAGGTGCAGTCCCTCAGTGTTCGCGCGGTGAAGTATCGGGCAGATCTCCGCACACCCGGACTCTGAGCACAGCCCCACGCGCATGCTCTCCTGCTTTGGGGGCGCCCGTTGTCCTGGCCTGGGCCCCCAAGCTGAGCCACACAGCTTGGAGTGGCCTGCGTCCCAGTGCAGACTTCTAGTGGGAGGCGACCCGAAGCGTGTCCCTTACCTGGGCGCAGGGCCACCGGCTGCAGGCGGCTCACCACCTCCCTGAAAGAAACAAATCGCAGACCCCTGTAGACACTAACTTCCACCCTGTCCGTTTGCTCACCCCAAAATAGTGCTCAGGAAGAAAACATGTTTCCCCTATAATAAAAGGGAGAGAGGAAGAATCAGATTGAATTTTGATGATGAAATGCTCAAATCTTATTGGACTTTTTCTTTCAAATACTTATGTGTGTTTAAATGTTTGAAAGCCTAATTAAAGAACATGTTGACCTCTCTGGGTTGAGGCCTAGTTTCAGAGTCAGATTATATAACCCCCCCCCCCCCCCCGCCCCCGCATGGGGAAGTTCTCTCTCCCTGCCTGAAAAAAGCAACTGAATCAAAGGAAGAGAAATCAACATACTTGAAATAAACCTGAAGTCTAAATGGGCCACATGTGCCGGTTAACATAACCACTTTTTATTTCCTTTCATTTTTCCTGGGGTTTTTTTCCTGGGGGGGGGGGGGGAGGGGTGTGAGCCCTGTGCCCAAACAAGCCATAGAGAACTGGGAAAATACTGAGATCCTCCAAATGAAAAAGAAAACAAGGAAAGAAAGAAAAAAGAAAGGAAAAGAAAAAAAATCCACAGGCCATGCAAACCTGTTTCTGTGACGCCTTTTACAATTCCTTATTTAGAGAGAGAGAGAGAGAGAGATACACACTCACATAGACTACTTACTAGTGCCCGGGGAAATGTTAAAATACATTTCGGGCCCTGGCTACATAGAAATGCACTCTAAAAACACAGACACGGTATTTTGTTTTATCTGTTGCAAAAAAAAAATGTATTTGATTACTTGAGTAAAATTACAGTATCTCTGTTGTTAGTAAGTATTAAATGTTAAAGAAATTGGACCCCCCCCTTTCCTTTCAACTTTCCAAGAAAGTGCATGTAACAGTCCAATTTTTTCCTTCCATACCTAATACAAAATAAACGAACACTATACCTGCTCTCTTGATCAAGAAGAAGCATTTGCTCTTGTAAGGAACATATGTACAATTTAATGAAAGTGATATTTCTTATTGTATATACAAGAGCATCTACATTTTCTCCACTGAAGGTTGTTCAAGATGCTATACTTAGCAGCATTGTGAAATTCCAGCACAAATTTTCTATTGTGAATATACCTACAAGGCAAAATGTTACGTCTCAGTTTCAACTACCAAAACAACACTTGTATTTTCTCTAAAGAATTCTGCGTGCTTATTACTGTACAGAAACTTATCAACATTGAGGACGACTCAAGTAAAAAGCACAATACAAATCGCAGTTCAAAACGGAAATGGTTAAATCTACCAAAAAAAAAAAAAAAAAAAAAAGCAGGTTGAATTTTAGAGTAAAAAAAAAAAAAAACCCAAAAAACCAAAAAAACCATAAAACGAAACAAAAAAACCCCAAACCTTTCAAAGAACCACATTGATCAGTCTGTACTTCCAGTCCTTTGCTTAAATTTGTTTAGAAAGATTAGACAATGTGTTTGCTGATAAAATTTCCCAGCAGGATCAAAGTGTACATTTATATACAGACTTTATTAGAGATCTAATGCATCACTGAGGCATTGCATTAACACCAGATTCATATTAAACCGGATATAGAAAATAAGTTAATGCCAGATTAAGACCGCCTAGCAGGGCAACTTGTGATTGCCATAAATGTTACAGCGCTCTAGTCAATTAGTATTTAGTCCAAAATACAGAAGACCAAAGTTAACGCTTGCATTCTGTTTGCAAAGCAAGGTTATATCACTAATAAATAAGCTTTCTTATAACTCTAGAAGTTGAACAAAATACAAAAGAATGTCTTCATCATGTTGTAGTTCATAGATCTGGGGGAACCAGGAGGGAAGGGGTGCGCCCCCCCCCGGAGGCAACAGTGGGTCTCCTTCTGGAAGGGGGTTGTTATTTCTCCAGCCAGGGTTGCTTTAACTTGTGACAATCTCTTTGCTGTCCTCCACGAAGCGGGTGAAACGGAAGTTGGTTCCGTTCTCACTGCTGGCCATCTTCTCCAGGCCGGCCAGCGGAGCGCTGGGCTCTGAGTTCTGGAGCTTCTCCAGATTTCCCGTCAGCCCACTAATAGGTGAGCTGCTCCCGCTGCCGAGGCTTCCAGGAATTGGAGGGATGCCGCCATTCTGAATGACGGAGATCTCATTGGCCTTCATCGCCAGCCCGTTGGAGAGTGCCGCTGCATACTGATTCCAGAAGCTGGAAGGATCCCCGCTTCCTGACCTTGCCGCCAAATCCTTCTGGAACATTTCTGGGAACTTGACAGGATTGCCTCCTAGAAATGTCATGGGGCCATCCACAGAGAGCCGCCGACCCCGTCGTGCAGGCGTGCTATTCCACATGTGAGTGCCCATGTGTACCTGAGAGGCGGGCAAAGGGGCGGGGGTGGGAAGGGGGCAAAGAAAAAAAAAAAGGGAGAGAGAGAGAGAGAGAGAGAGAGAGGAAGGGAGAAGCTTAATAGTTGAATCTGTCTCCGCTCATATCCCAACACCCGACAAAGCAAGTGGCCTACATGTCTATTCTTATTAAGCGCCAGATAGTGGAGAAGGTGACGGGAGCTGTCCACTCCGGCCGCCTCCTAATAACGCGCTCGCTTCTCCCCAGCCCTGGGCCGCCTTCCCTCTTCCTGGGCAAAGATGCCGGCCTTACTTACTCTTTTTTTATTACCCGTATTTAGTTTATAATGGCCTCCAGCAGGCCAGTCTGTCGCAGATAGCTCCTTTCAGGGTTAGAATTGTTATGTCCACTCTCATTGCAATGGTAAGTATTGTATCTGACACCCTTTACCCTATAAACGTCCTCTGCAGATGGGAAGAAAGTACCCCTCGCAGATTGCCCATCGCAGGGCCCGTGCGTGGCGAGAAAGAGCCAGAAAGTAATTATTCATCTCACATTACTGGCAGCGATCTCTAGAGAGATACTCTGTCAACAAAAAATGTACACAGTGAGAGCACTCAACTGTTGCTCTAGAACCTAAGCATATTTGCTTTATTTCCAACACATATCGGGAGGAAATGTATAATCAATTATCATAATACCCATTTAGCCGAGCAGTGACGTGATGGTTTTTAGGAGAGCAAGCCACGCTGGGCTGCATACTTGTGAAAAACAGATGCATCCGCCGAGGAGGACTGTAATTATTAAGTGATACGGGCTGCTCGCAGGCCACGTGGAGGTCTTTAATCAATACCCCATGGCAACGCCGGGCTGTCGCACTTGGTAGGTGAGGCAATTCATTTGGTGCACTTAGCGAGACAGCGAGAGATGGGCAGCTGCTTCGCTGGGGCACCAAATTATTCAATGTGCTCTCACGTCCAGCAGGCTGCGGCCCGCCCCGAGACACCTGCCCCGACCCTGACCCGCGCGGGCGCCTGGCCGCGGTGGGCCACGTGCGGCAGGTGCCCCGGCGAGAACGCCCTCTCCCTGCGTGGTTATCGGGGCTGCTGGCTGGCTGGGCGGGTGGGGGCAGGGGGGTGGTGGGGTGTGAGGGACAGACAGAGTGAGGTACCTTCAGATTGCCTTTTGTCGTGAAAGCTCTCCCACAAATAGTGCAAGCAAAGGGTTTCTCTCCAGTGTGAGTTCGCTCGTGAATCTGCAGGGCACTCGACGAGGAGAAGGTCTTGCCACACGTGTTACAGTAATGCTGTTTGGGGGTTCTCCTGGGCAGAGCCGGGAGCAGAACTGGGGACGTGGCAGAGGAGGACAGAGGCCCAGAGGGGACGTGACCTGTGGAGGTGTCCTTGCTGTCCTGAGGCGTGACGTGCACGAAGCCGTTGACCTCTGTCTTGATGAGAGATGACAACGAGCTGGCGGGGATCGCCGCCGAGTTCTGATTGGGGCCGAGGTTGGGGCTGGGCTCAAAGAGCTGTGATGGTAGGTCCCGCATCTGATGTGTCAACATGTGCTGCTTCAAATTACCCTTTGTGGAAAAGCCGCGATTGCAAACCGTGCAAATAAATGGTCTCTCTTTGGTATGACTTCTGTAGTGAATGTCCAAGGCACTCTGACAAGCAAAGGTTTTGCCACAAATGTCGCAAGCAGTATTTTTAAATTTACCCCGGTCTCTGAAAGGGAAGAGGATCCCCAAAGAATCTTCCTTGATGATTTTCTCTGCGTGGCTGGACGTCAAATCCAGAGCCCCACCGTTCACCGGGGTGGGGGACGGGCCGTTGGCGAACTCGCCCGGGACTGCCCTCTGGGGCTTCTCCTCCGCGCCGGGGGACTTGCGGAGCTCCTGGGTGCTGTTGGACGGGGACACAGCCTGCATGGAAGAGGTAGACTCTGAGATGGCCGGGCTGCCCGCACTCTGGCTCTCCATGTCGCCGCCCACCGAGGACGAGTCGTTGGTCAGGACGTCCCCCTCGACGGAGCCGTTCTCCACGGACTTCAGGCTGGCCTGCAGCTGCTCCGCCAGGCCGGCGCTGATCATCTTCATCTGATTTTCCAAAGCAGCGATGCTTGACATCTCCAGGGGCAAAGGCGAAGAAGATAAGCTGTCCTGGGACGCGTCCGCGGACTTGGGCGTATCGGGGATGCTGCCCTCAGGACAGTCCTCCATGTTTTCGTCGGAGAAGGTGTCCAGGTCATCGAAATTCTTCTCGTCAAAGGAGCCCGTGTCGGACTCCATGGACTCGGGGTAGCTGTCGGGGACTGGGGTGTTGGGGATCTGACCTCCCATGTGCATCCGGATGTGCTGCTGCAGGACCACGGCGTTCGTGAACTTCTTCTGGCAGATGGGGCAGGAATGCTGGACTCTGAGCGGGGGCATAGCACGGTGGACGCTATAGTGGGTTTTGAGGTTCCCTTTCGTGGTGAACGCCCGGCCGCAGATCTTACACTTAAAGGGCCTCTCCCCGGTGTGCGTCCGGTAATGCATCTTTAGGGCGCTCTGACAGCTGAGGACCCGGTGGCAGATGATACACTCGTTGGGGTCAGTGGCCTTCTTGTCAATGTTCTCTACCAACTGCTGAAGCTTGGAGGTCTCTGATGCCTGGGCCGAGTCCAAGAGCCCCCCGAAAGGAAACTTGGCCTTGAACTGCTCAGACATGAGCGGCAACAAGGGGTTGGTGAAAGCGGTGGCCCTCCCGGGGCCGCCGTCGGCCGTCGCCACCGCCGGGGAGCTCAGAGAGCTGCCGCTGGCTGCCGGGGCGGAGCTGGGGGCCACGGTGCCGTCCTCACTTTTGCCACCGGAGGGTAGCGCGGGGGGCCCTTCGGCCTCCTCTGCGAGCCCGCCCGGGTTTCGCGTGGCCGCCTCGGGGGCCCCGGAGTCACTTTTGACTGAGCCCGGGGGGCTGCTGGCAGAATGGCCGATGGGGATCGGGGCTGGCTCTTCGGTCTTGATGAAGGGTGCGAGGCTGGGGAGGGTCGGGGGCAACGGCAGGCCGACCGAAGTGGTCAGAGTGGGCAGGACCGGCTTGGTGTCTAGCCAGCTGGTGACCGGCTTCTCCGGAGGGACGGACATGCCGTACGGGATGCCGGTGCTCGTGGGGATATTGTCCAGATGCTCAGGCACGGGATAGGGGTTCATCTGGATATGAGGGTATTTCTCTTTGTGGCGCTGGAAGTGGACTTTGAGGTTCCCCTTGGTGGAGAACCTGTTCCCACAGATGTTGCACTTGAACGGCCTCTCGCCGGTGTGGGAGCGCAGGTGGATCTGCAAGGCACTGTCGCTCCCGAAGACCTTCGCGCAGAACCTGCACTTGTGTTTGAAGAACGCCTCATCCGAAGCGCTTTTCGCTTCGAAGGCGGTGACATTTGGTGGCTTGCTTTTTCTTTGCTGGGCCAAGGCGGACAAGGGGTTTAAGTCCTCCGCAGTCGTTCCGATGTTGGGCAAAGGGCTGGGGAAAACCGAGTTAGCGGGGGCCGGCTGAGGTAGAAGTGCACTGGACGCAGGATTTAACAAACTGCTTATTGCAAAAGCTGGTGACGACGATGCCGAGGCTGCGGGGTGGCTGGCGTGGGAGGCGCCGGCGCTCGAAGCCGCTTTTTCCGAGGACGGGGTGGTCACCGCTGCCGCCAAGATGTTAATGCTGGGGGAAGCGCCGCTGTTGGGTGGGAGGGTGTGGCCAGAAGTGCTCTGAGGTAGCTGGAGGGGGGGCAGCTGTTTCACACCGCTGATGTTGGCAGACTGGCTGGCGAGGCTCTGTGCCAATCCAGCTGCCGCCGCCAGCTGCTGAGATAAATGGGAGCTTAGTGTGGACAAGGGGTTGGCAGATGTTCGTAAAGTACCTTGAGAAGGACTCGAAGATGTTGGCAAGTCTGCGTTCTGAGAAGCCAACAGCAATATTTGGTGACGGATCTGCTCGATCAGTTGCAGCTGGTGGATCTGCTGTTGCTGCAGGGCGAGGAGCTGCTCCATGAGGGCCGGGACGGCCGGCTTGCCTCCGGAGGCCCCGCCGCACCTCGCCTCCTGCGAGAACTGGGCCACCGCCACCTTGGTGCTCTGCAGGTTCTCGATGATGACGTTGCTGTTGATCACGGAGAAGTTGCCCAGTGTCGTCAGGTCCCCGAGTTGAGGTAGAGAGGTTGTGATCGCTGAGGTACCTGTGGAGGGGCCGCCGCTGCAGCCTGGGGTGACCCCGCTCCCGCCCCCCCCCAGGGCGCCACCGCCACCTCTGTTAGCCGCCACCGGGGCCTCCACCTCCATGGACTCTTCCCTGTCGCGTCCGCCGTGTTCCGGAAGGTCGCCGCCGTCGGCCTGATCCGTTTTGTTCACGGTGTCATTCATTTGTTCGTCGGGGTTGTCGGGAGGGGGACTGGGAGTGAAGGTGTCGGGCGGGGTGGCCGGGCTCTCATTGACGATGAGAACTAATTGATTTTTAGTGCAGTTCTTCTTGTGGAGGAGAAGATCCGATAACTCAAAGAACTCGGCACAGCACCGGCCACACACGTGGGCGTCCTTGCTCTTGGTGGTGCGATTTGGTTGACCTTTCTCTGCGTCTCCTGCAAACATCAAAAGGGGCAGGGTTAGAAAGGGGGCCGGGCCACACAGGGTCACCCGCGCCTTCGCAACAAGAGGGAGGTTGATCCATTGTTTTCTGTCTTCCAAACTCAACACTCTTGCCCCTGGAAAAGCAGTCGATACTACCCAAGAACGTTCACAATTAAATCTTAGGGGTGTGGAGGAATCCCTATCCATCCGGCATCTCAGATAGCCACGGTCTTCAGATAATCCATCAAAATATAAAATACTGCGAACTGAAGACATCAGTGCATAATGCAATTCCATAGGCCACTATTGATTTCCAATATTTTATACACCTTATTGTCTACTCATCCAGAGAGGGTCCAGCAACCATTCTGAGGACTTATTAGGCTCTTGAGTTTCTGTCAACCTTATTCATTTTCAACTGATTCAGAGATATCTGTGACAGTTTGTTCTGTCACTAAACTAATTTGTAGTCATTCAGATTCCAATCAGTTGTTGACAAGGGACGGGAGAGAAACGCGGATCACCAAGCTGAGGGCTGACAACTTAAAAATCACCTCCAGCCCCTACCTAGAACCTGAGCCGAGGCCTACCCGTGACAAACACGCTTTAGCCACACCAGTAACAAATCCTCCAGGCTGCTCAAGACTCAGTTGAATACAAACAAGAAAGCAGCGCGCACGCACGCGCACACACGCGCACACGCGCGCGTGCGCACACACACACACACACACACACAGACACAACGAAGAGAAACACAGTGATCATAATCCGTTACAAGGCCTGCCTGGCACCCATATATCACCCCGTGGCATGTTTATTTTTAAAATTAAAGAATGCAACCCTGGCTACCACTCCACCGTTCAACTTATATATGCCATTGTGCTCCAAATGGCAACGTTACGCCTCTAAATATTTCATCAAGAGTGCTCTCCGTATCTATAAAAAACTGGCAGAAGATTTACATTTCTGATTCAACATCAACTTATAGAAGGATGTGCAGTTAAGGGGAAGGTTTCGAGTTTGCAAATGCTGTGCCATTCTCCTTGTCTGAATGCCTTTAAAAACAGTTGGCTATTCGGTGTTATCAATTGTTTAACAGATTGTCCTGAACCTTTCATTATAAAAATCCCTTTATTTCATGTTTGTTTCCACTGGTTGCTCAGATTTCTTCTCACTAAGATCCATTTGTAAATTAAACATAAAAATCTCCAACGGCAAGCTAACATCCTATTCAAAGACAGGATGGAGCCTTATTGTTTGCCCAGCATGGGGAACACCAACTTCTGTTGTACAAATGGTGTGTGGTCATCTCCGAAGGCTGTGAAAAAAAAAAAAAAAAAAACTGTTTAATTCAAGGATTACCTCCCTGCATGCTTTTCTGCAGAACTGAATCAGATAATAGTTAGTTTCCATGACTTCCAAATTGAATCTCCCAAGAAAACTTGCAGGGGGGGGAAAGAAAAAAACTAATTGCAAATATGAATAAATACCAACTCAAAATGTTGCTTCTTCGGTAAACGTAGGAGGCAGCTCCTAAGGGTCAGCCATTTGCCTCTTTGTAGTAAACATCCTAAAAAGCTTCAGTAGTTTTGCATTCCGGAAAATACAATTAATACCTAAATACTAACTTCTGGAAATTCCTTTAACTCTATTGGCCTTGCGTGGTGCCCGAGTTGATGAGGAACCCGGGTGAAGTATGCCAAATGCAGGCACACTTTATTCACTGTGAGTGTTATCTGAGTAGCTAAGTTATACTCAACAAGCTAGCTTTTCTAACAACACCCATCTTTTAATCTCCACAAGGGTACGCAGCAAAATGCACTAACAATACCAAACAAATCTTGGCTGTGGCAGAAAATACCAATAATGATTCAGTTTTAATTTAATGTTTAATCATCTTAATTGGCACCGGGTTCCTGTGCACATTCAAGGTGCTGTTTTAAGCACTTTCTGTCTCTCTCCCTGCCTTAAAATAATGTAAACAAAATATTAAAGGAAATTCGCCGCAGTTACGTCGCTTAACTTGGGACAAAAATAATGTGACAAAAATTCTGTTTAAAGCTTCTTATTTTGACAACCAATTTTAAATGATGCATCCATTTCAGATGCTTATTTTAAACTAGGAAATGCAATTCCTAATATATTCAACAGAAATGTTATTTCTTTCTCTTTGCACATTTCCATATGTAATGGTTATGTTTCCATCTACTTTTACAGCCAATTATGAAGGAACAAAAGCTATTCTGTTTGCTCACACATTTTCAACAAAATGCATTAAAACTATTATGTCAGCATGTTCTATTAAGCTCTGCATTCAGTGGAAAATACTTTTCAACCAGCTCACATTTATCAAAACATAAAGCCACTTTAAAACACAGTTTTGCTTGGTCAGCTGGGCTTAGACAAATAATGACAGATTCAGGACTAAATAACTAGCAAGGGAAATCAGAAAACTGACTTCATCAATTGTACACATTACAATGTAGTTGCCTTCAAATATTTAGCACATCTGTGTTCACGATTAAAGGGCATTTTAATTCTTTATAACTTGCAAACATCTGATATTCTCATAATATATAGACAAAATGAAAAGAAGCTTACTTTACAGGATTTCGCTGATTATTACTTTCCTGGGCTTGAATTCTACATTTGGGCTGCTTCAAGACTCACTTGAGAATTTTCAAGTTTTTCCAACCTGAACATTTTTGTATTTCGGGCCGTGCTAACTGGACGGAAAATAGAGGTGCTTAAAAATATGCCTGCTTGCTTCGAAGAAAGACGGTGTTAAAAAGCTGCCTATGTTTCAGCTTGGATTTTCACAACATTTTAATAAGCTGACATGTGATTCCACTGCCGAGTCAACTAATTTAATTTCCGGATGTTTATGAACACCAAAAAAAAAAAAAAAAAAAAAATTCTGGTATCTATTTTGATTTATTTCAAAAGCAGGTGTCGCTGTACTGTAATAGCTCTTAACTTTAAATGTATCTGCATTCTGAACTGAACTCCAACAAAGACGCTCAACAGCAACAAAGACAAAACATGAGGACTAGTTTGAATCTTTAACTACCAAAAGGAGTATTTTAAGTTGTAAGACACACACGCACACACACACACACACACACACACACACACACACACACACACAAATGTGTTCCAATTCATTTTTCTGACCGGCTGCTATCTTGTTTCTCAATAATCTGTTACACAGGATTGCAACTGGTGATCCCATTATAGTAAATACAGTTGCCTTGTTCCCTGTGCTATGGTGAAAATAGCATTCCAGTTCCTTCTCTATGGGTTTTGCATCCAAATTAATTTTATGATCCCAGTCACAAAGGAAAAATTTAAGAAGTAGTAGTTTTCTGAGTATGCACACACACAAAGATCTCTGGCATTTTTCTGGGATTTTTTTTTTTTTTAGAGGATAAGGGGGTGAACTTGTAGCTCCATTCAGTTTATGCTAAAACCCCGGATGTTTCAGTTCTCGTACTATTTAGGTACTTGACCCCCAATTCAAATTTGTCAGTTTTTCATCATCTCAACCAAACATTGCAGAACAGGAGGCAGAAAATGGAAGTGTTCCAGTGTATCTGTCTACTGTGAAAACAAAAATAAAACTATGCCCCACACGGCAAGGTTTAGCCAAGCCAGGAAAAAAACAAAACAAAACAAAACAAAACAACCCTATTCTACCACATTTAGTTTTCTTTTTTGGAGCTCTTCAGAAAAGATCCTTCCCTTTACTTTCCACTACCTTAAGATCACATTAACGTTTTTAATGGAACCCCTCGTGATTGGGATTGTGGAGCCTATAATTTTAACAGGCTGTTCTTTCCCGGAGACCCATTTGGAGAGGCCATCAGCACCGTTTCTGACTGATTGGTCTTTCACCTTTTTATTATCATCATTATTGTTCTGCACCGATCTGGGAAAAGCCTCCACCTGAATGTCCAGCTCAAGATGCCACAGAAATTTTAAACACTGCCACATATGCTCTGTATATTCTCCGTAATGTCTGAAGTTTCCTCTGTGTGATATGCAACCAAATGACACATTTACTGGCCCGCTTCAATTCCCTCCGTGTTCTGGCCGGGATTAGTGGATCCTTGAGTGGAAGACTACAAGCGAAGGCTCTGGAAAAAAATAACGACACGGTCCAGACACGCCTTTTTAAACAGTGATACAAGCCCACCTAACGTACACAATCTGTGTTGGGGGAAAATGTCTTCCCCTCGGATGAATCAAACTGAACGCTAGATGGGGTTCCAGTTGCAAGGGTTTTTGTTCAAAAACTTCTTTGTGGCTTTCCTATTCCAGTGACGCGTAAAAAGAGAGACTCCTTAAGGCGAGATCTCAACTTTGACTACATAAACATTGGCAAAGGCACAAGAAACTAAATCCCTGTTGTTTGAGGGTAAAGCTGAGCTATGGGAACTACCTGTCAATCTTCCCCTTTGGGGGTCTGGCATCTGAGGGTGACAGGGGAATAAGGTTAGGAAAAGACACCAAGCTGATAAGGTGAAACTAAAATAAACTGCTAACTTCCTGCTAAGTGACCAGGAAGACTGAATTTGGGGGTCACTGGGAAGATACTGAAGGACATATTATGATCTGGACCTTGTCACCTCTGCATGGGAGGAGGCTAGCAAAGGTTAAAACAGCTCGACACATTAGCTTTTGTAAAGCCTGGCACACACACTTTTTTCTGCCGGGGGGAGGGGTGCTGGGGCTTAGGATAATTTACCATCTTTGCTAAACTGCTAAATCACTGCGGCTTTGGTAATCGAAGAATATTTTGGACGACGTGGCTGGCTGTACCAGGACAGGTCTCAGAAACACCGAATTAAGACCGCACGAGGACTTTGTTCCGGTTATGAGCTTGGCTTTTAACCATTTCAACAAACTTAGCAAACTGCGAGTCGGAGCGGATCTCTCGCACTCGCACTGAGATCCCCACATGAGAGATGTGGGTCTCTGCCTTCTAAAGGGCTCTGGGTGGAGATGAACTGCTACCTGCAAACGCAGAAGTGAAATAAAGTCCCCAAAGAATAACCTACAAATTGGCACTTGCACCTATAAACCATAGGAGAAACTTGATGTACAAGAAACCACGAGCTGTTCACTATCACAGATTTACTTTTGCATCCAGTCTCTCGTGCCCCACTACACTTTGCTTGTTGTGTGTGGTTTTGCCATTTTTAGAAAGTATCTGCGGCCCGAAGCAAATCCCCCCAAAACTGCATTTTCTCACCCAGAATCTTCCATTATGCCACAAACTTAAAATAGGCCTGATTACCCATGAATTCTTTCCAACTGCCTTATCTTGCAGGTGTCGGTTTTTCAAAAAAAAGCAATTAATTATAGTTCTCTGTAACCTTTTGGGCCCAGAAATCAATGTGTTGCCATTAAGCTGCTCACAATGAGTAAATTACTTTGGTAAATAATAGAATTTCATTATTCATATAAATAAGAGGAATGTTTATGATACTTTATATGAGTCAGTGTTTTATCTCCAGTTTGTGAGGTTTTTATCTTTCTTCCAATATTCTCTTTTCCTTGAAAAAGCGGAGGGCCACAATACTTTAATAAATGAATGGAGTCTGAATGGGGCCATCCCTGCAGTTACTTGAATCTCAGAACCACCACCCAAGGAAGAAAACCCCAAAACACACACACACACACACACACACACACACACACACACACACACACA